AAGGCTTTTTTGAAGTCAGGATATATGACATCAATCTCTTCTCCCTTGTCCAGGTGATAGGTCACCTGGTCGTAGAAGGAAATGAGATTGGTCAAGCAAGACCTACCCGCAACAAACCCGTGCTGGCTATCCCTTAAGATGTTGGCGTCGGCCAGTCCATTAAGGATGGCCTCTTTAATAAACTTTTCTAAGATATTCCCCGGGATAGAAGTCAGGCTGATGGGCCTATAGTTAGCCGGATCCACTTTCCTCCCTTTCTTGAAGATAGGCACCACATGAATGGGGCATACTTGTCAGCAGCTGTCCTGAGTTCAGCACAGAGACAGTGTTGACAAGCTTGTAAGGACACACTTGGAGCCATGCTGAAACATGACACTGCTTAAGCAAGCCTTAACTTTGAGCTTATGTTTGGGTGCTATCATGGGACCAAAGCCAGAGGTTCCTGGCTAAAGAGTCTTGCTCCTCCACTCAGGGTCAGACCAGCACCATATTTAGGGTCAGGAAGGAATTTTACCCCATGGTCAGATTGGCATGGATTGGTGGGGTTGGGCTTCCTCTGTAGTGATGGGCATGGCCTCTACCTGGGATCTCTTGAGTGTATATTGACAGCCTTTTACAGAAGCAGGACGTTGGCTGCTGTGATTCCCCTGCTTTGTCCATGGGAGGTTAAGGTGTTATGTCTCTGTCTCAGGGCTGATAGTAGTCTTATGTAGAGTTTAGATTATGGATTTGTATGGGACAGTTGGCATAGGAATGATCCTGCCTCGGACAAGGGGTTGGACTGGGTTTCATAGTTTTAGGGTCGGAAGGGACCTAATAGATCTTCTAGCCCGACCCCCCGCCAGGGCTAGACAAAAAGTCCCTTCCAGCCTGATGTTTCTATTATTTTATGGGGAGACCCACATTTCTCTCCCTTTCTAGAGACCTGAAGAAAGGGTACTTTTCCCCTGTAAAGACTTGCTTTGACCGAAAAAGCAAAACTCCTGTGGATTTCCCTGGGTAAAACAAAGATGAGTTCTTCATCCCAGTTGTCCTAGCTAGTAGACTAACTGCATCTTGTTAATTGACCTGTATAACAGCAAGACCTAGCAGTCTCCACATTTTTATTCCATCACTGCATTTCAGGTGTCTCTCCATGCTTATCACAGTGACTCTCAAACTTTTTAGACTCAAGGCATCCCTCAATAGACTCAAAATACTCCTCAGAAAATGTCAGCTCTCAGTTTTTGACTACAGAAAGATAATAGAACAACGTTTCTGTTGCAAAGAACTCAGAAAGACCACAGCCAGGCAGAAAGTTTTTTTTTATATGAATTCCTATTTGAAATCTCCGGGTTAAGTTTATGAATCATGTATGCACACTTCACAGCGCTAGCATTGCAGCACCCTTGATAGGATCTCAAAGCACCCTTGAAAGGATACATTGCAGCACCCTTGAAAGGATCTCAAAGCAGTTCAGGGTGCCAGGATACCCTGGGCGAGAATCACGGGCTTACCGCAAAGTCTCACAGAAATAAGAGATGGAGCGGGGGAAAGGTGTTACCCAGATCACCCTTCTTCCAGTGAGGAATTTGTTTCTGAAATACTGATTAGTATTTTTTCCTCCGCTCTACTTTTAAATGTTTTGAGTGATGGAGGTTCCACCGTTTCCTCTTCCACATTTTAATGCATTTATAGGCGGGATTTCCCCTTGTTGCTTAACTTCTTTGAATCACCCTAAAAACTTCTAGCTGCTAAGGCCTTCAAGGCACTGGTATATCATTTAGTCTGACCTCTTGCAAGGTACAGGCCGGAGACTTCCACCCAACGATTCCTGCATTCACCCCAACCCCTTCTAGCAGGAACAACAGCAACCCTTCTAGAAGGAAGTCCAGGTTGTTTTATTTTAAATACTCTAAGCCAGGGGTTCTCAAACTCCAACCCACAGCACTGGGTCATTGCGGCGCACAGCGGGGCAGGAGGGGGTGGTGCTGGCCCCCGGGACCCAATGCTGACATGCAAAGGATGGTGCTGGGCCCCAGAGCCTGATTTGGCCTGACCCAGTGCCACTCATCTGGCCTGTGGGGTTGCAAAGCAAAAGGTTGAGCACCGCTGCTGTAAATGAGGGAGGATTTTTCCACGTCCCTTCCATTACTTAATGGCCCCCTTTGTCATTGCCTGGATTGCAGGTGCCTGTAGTTTGAGAGAGCATTTGGAGGAACAGGATTGAAACAAGGCTTTCTGTGGGCAGCTGGTCCAGCCTGTCCTTGGGCCCAGGGGAGGCGGTGGCTGCTGCACTGGGATTACAGCCTTGGGCAGTCCCTGGCATTACAGTATTTATATCCTTCAGGTCACTAAAGGGCAATTACCGACCGTGTGCCACCTCCTCTGGTTCTTATGAATGAAATACATCTAATTTACCTATTTTTTCTTGCTCTTGCATGAAGTGTCTCCACTTCTGGTGGTGGGAAGATGAGGGCCAAACATTGAATTGGTACATGGAGGTTAAATATGAACCTGAAGAGCTCTCACAGCTCTGATAAGCATGTGTATAAGCAATTATCCCATACAAGCTGAACTTAAATGTAAAAAACTGGAAAGACCAGGGGTCAGACCCATAGGTCGGATATAGCCTATAAAACTGTCATGCAGGCTCCAGGACTCCCCACAGTCCAAAAATTTGGCAGCGGGAGAACAGTAGTAGCATTAATTAGCGCTCTTCTGCTGCCAAAATCCCAGACTTGTGGGGAGCCCTGCATGCCATTTAACATGGCCCTGTGCTCTAGGTCACGAGGTTGGGATGGCGAGGGGCTGGATCCAGGCATGTGGAGCTGGATCTGGCTATCACAGGGCCCAGTCTGGGTATACGGGAATAAATCTGGCCAGGAGGGGCCTGATCCGGGCTTGTAGGGCCCTATCCATCTGTGTAGGGCTGGATCCAGGTGCACGGGGTTGGATCTGGTGGGTACAGGCCCAGTCTGTGCATGCAGAGTTGTATCTGGCTGTCACAGGACCTGATCTGGGCATGGTATCCAGCCCATGGACCAACCTCATGCCACTCATCTGGCCCATGGGACCAAAAGGTTGGGTAAGAGCATTTCATAAACCAGCCAATGGCAAATAAGTCTTTTGCTGGTAACTTGCCTTATGGGCCACATTTGCTTTCATAACACAACTGTCTTTTGTCTCCAAACCCTGGAGGAAAACGGCTTGCTCTGTTAATATATTTCTGGAGTTTTCCAGTTATGAATAGCTTATCAGGGCTTTAATGTCGTTTTGGAAAATTCCTCCATTATTGATCTAGATATTATCCCAGCAGGAGTCAGAGCCACAAGACAATTGTGTGGGGATAATTTCTTACTACAGTAACATTTCATTCTGAAAACCTGCTGTGTGGTGTATGGTTTGATGGATGACCCCACTGTTTAAAATGCATATAAGATATTGGCTTGCTAATTAAATGCCTTAAGGAGCGCCAGCGTTCATTCAGTCCCAGTAAATGTTTATACATAGATTTTTTCTTATTTTCTTTCTTGCTTGTTCTCTCTCCTTACTTGGCTTTCATTTCCCGCTTTCTCTGTCCACAGAGGGGAAGCAAGTGAAGTATAATTGTGAAAAATGATGTCACTGTACTCCCAAATAGTACTGTTCTTAGAAGGGGATGGGGAAAAAAAAAGATTGAGCTGGGCAAATATTTTTTGGAGAGTAGCTTTCTTTGCAGGAAAACTTGGTCTTGGTTATCCCCAATTGATTCGGTGAATTGGATTGAGTGAAAACACATTTCAAAGCTAGAGGCTCTGAACCAGCAAGGAAGAGATGGGTCCTTCATAGCCTGGTGGCTAGAGCTACCAGCAGGATGTGAGAGTCTGAACTCAGAGACCTCCTCTGCTTGTGGGAGCCTGAATCCACATCTCTTACCTCTCAGCGCCGTGTGATAGTCTAGGTCGGGAACTCAGAATGCCCTACAGCCTGGAGGATAAAGCTATTCTCCTCGGAGGTAGGAGATGTGGTTCCCTCCCATGCCAAGGAGGGAGTTGGTCTTGGGGGAGTGCCTGAATCAATGGGTAAAAGGAGAAGTTCCCCTTCTTCCATCTTCATCTGTTTTGAGAGCAGCACCCGTGTCCATTTGGTCATTTCCACAGCTTTGCAGTTATTAAAAAAAAGCCTGAAATGGAAGCATGGGGTTTGACTTGGGGATCAAGAAAACATTTTGCTTGGGGCGTGTGGGGGGGGGGGGGTTCATTTTGGCAAGACATATGGAAGCGGTGTTTGGTCTGCAAGCTGATCCCCAAAAAAGCAGTGTTTCACTCGGCCCTTAGGAAACAGGCCTCTAAGATCAAGAGATGCTTGTGGCCATGTGGCTTCATTCATGAATGGGCACCTCATTCCAGTCTCATTGCTTTCATTAGTGTTTCAGTGGTCTTACTCCTTAATGACCCCAAAGTCTTTGGGGTCAGAATCAGGCTCAGTCTTTGTCTAGAACAAATCCTTGCATTTGAGATTCTTCCGTAAGAAGTCTGAAAGCTCCTGGTTTTTCTTATGAAGGGATGTAAGGGAATGTATCAGTGGGATTCCCCAAATTTCAGAGATTTCCAAGATCCAGAGTGGAAGTGTTGTATCCCGTACTGCAGTGTTGTAGTCACCAGCTCCCTCCTCTCTGAAGTCACATGAATGCCTGAGCAGAGCCTACGGAGGGAGAGGAGCACAAGCAGCAGATGCAGAGTAGAGAGAATAGACACGTACTGATTAGATCAACCCCTAGACATGGTGCTGGGATGAACGGTGGCAGCCACGTGAGCAGCAGGGGTTAATGCAGCTGTTGCTTGCCCCCTGCCACCCACATGCATACCCAAGGGGTCTCTGTGCCCTGGATTTTGCAGCAGGCCTCCTCCCCCCCATCTAAGTCTTGGCCCCTCTACCAGCCCCACAGGACACAGCTGTGTAGGCTGTAGGTTTGATGCCCCAGATTAGAGTAAAGCAAGCAGGTGCTGGAAGGCAGCATCAAGAGGCCTCCATCAGGATTTGGCTCAACTGTAAATGCGAATTAGCGCTGCCTTCATATGGTTGGGGCCAGGTTTAATGAATCCTGCAGGCTCTGGCTCCCTGACCAAGCCTAGACTAGACTGCCTCTCTTCTGGGCTGGATGAACCCTTCTGCTTCCTCCCAGCACCCCAGGAAAAAGTCTGTGGTGTCTTTGCTTCACCCTCCCCTTCTCACCACATCAGGCCCATACATTATTCCAGTCCAATCCAAACCCTATCTCCTTGTCAGGAAGGCAGTCGCTCCAGGCCAGGCAATGCCTCTGGACCCTGAGAGATCCTGAGAGCCAACTCCCCAAACATCCCTCCGCTCGTCCTGTTTGAGGTGGCTCCCTTTTTTTGCGAAGCCCGGTATGCCATTAAGAAAGCAACCATTTTCATGCTGATTGATGGGTTTTGCTTTGCGCGTTCACAGCTGGGGACCTCGCAGTCTTGTAAGTGGAGCTGTCAGTCCCAGGCTTGTCGTGTAGAGAAGAAAGAAACTGGGGAGGAAAAAAATAAAAGGAAATCACTGTAATCCCTCTGAAATGATTTTCTTGCTGAAAATTGCTAGATCTGGATGGGCTAAGCCAACTGAGTTACCAAGACAACCTCTCCTATCATGAAGATGACCACGTATCTGTTGATTCAAGGACTGCATCCGAGAGTAGGGGTACCGGTCAGCACAAAGAGCCTGGCATGGAGGCCAGCATTGCCAATAGCCTCAGCCGGCAAGCCACCGAAGGGAGCCTGGAGATGGAGACGGCCTTTAGCAATCAGGGATATGAAGGAAATGACGCCACTGACAGCTCATCCGCTTGGAGCCCGGAGGTAGGGTGAATCGCTCTTTGTTACACATGGTGTCTCCGTTCCCTGAAGGCATCGGGAGGGGGGGAGAGCAGGACAAGAGAGACGGAGTGGAAGGGAACATCAAACTCACAATGTTAGGGGAGAAATTAAATGCAAAATCGATTGGCACAGGACAGGATAGTGTGTGTGTGTTGGAGGCAGGGGTGGAGCGGAGGGGAGAAGGTGCCTGGGTGTTTTTTTTCGCTCCTCCCTTTTCCTCATTCTGTTTTATTGCCCAGTTTCTGATATTAATGTTACCGGGACCATTTGCTGCACCGCAGCATTTGCTACAGGGAGCCTGCTTTGGTGTGAGGAGATGAGGGGACCTGCATCTGGGACATGCATCTGTCGAGATACAGGCTGTGATTCCTCGGCAAATCACTGGCCCCTTCTGGCTGCTTTCTATTGTTGGGCAGCAAGATGCAGCTGGAAGGTGGCACTAGTGGGGCATCTAGGAACTTTTCTGCTGTATCCAGCTGGTTATTGCCCTGGCCTCCTCTCCTTCGCAAAGGTCTGGGATAAGGAGCATGTGGAGGGGAAGTGCATGATTCCCAACCAATCTCCTGCTGATGGAGGGTCCCTGCCACCATTATAACCACCATGCTCACAGCTAAATCAACCCTTATGTTCTCCAGGAGCAAAGGAGTTTATCCAGCCCTCTATCCCTTCCCCAGGCAAGTTTGTTGGCCAAGCAGGACTTGACTATATCTAGGGATCTGGTACCTATTTCCAGTGTAACACCCTCCAGAAAACAGTGCAAATTCAAAGGAAGCCATAAATCTATTCTTACTGATTCCCTTCCCCCACACTACCCTGAACTTCTCTTCTTTGTGATTCGTTTTTTCCATTCCTGTTTTCTCACCTATTAATTTTGGCAGGAATATTATTTTGCATCAAATATTTTAACAAAACAATGCATGCAGGTGGAGTTTCCAAGCTGACACCATTCCCTCAATGCAGAAATTAGCCTCTCCAGCCTAAGAACAAAAGGACTGATATGGAAATATCCCTTTCCCCTGGGCAAGTTCCTTCTGCCCAGCAGAGAATGAAAGCAGCTTCCAGTGGATGGGTTTGTGACATGTTAAAAGCAGCCATTCAGGCTGAGGCATGGCAATTAGCAAGTATATTGGATGCTAGACAAGCCAGTTTTGCATCAATTCGGATACATTAGGACGCCCTGCAAGTGCTGGGCTGACTCTTTGCCATGTGATGCCTGCTGAACTGAGGGCTCTTTATCCATCTTTGCATTTCACACTCATCACTATGGTGCACACTTGCCAGGGAATCCTGAGTGTCCTCTTTTCATTTGTATGCCAAGTGGCCCCACATTTTGCTGCAGGAGCACATATATTAGGATCATAGGAAAGTAAGGCTGGAAGGGACATCACAAAGTCATCTAGTCCAGCCCCCTGCTCAAGGCAGGATCATCCCTGACTAACCTGTCCCAGCTAAGTGTGTGTCTAACCTGCTTTTGAAGGCTTCCAAGGATGGAGAGTCCATAAATCCACAAGGCAGCCTGCTCCAGTGCTTCACCACTTTCACACTCAGAAAGTTCCTTCTAATCTCCAATTTAAATGACACCTTCTGAAGCATGAGTCCATTGCTCCTGTCCCCTTCAGTCACAGAGAAAGACCCATCTCCAGTCTCTCTATATATACCCTCCAGGTATTTGAGCAGTGCATACAGAATTTCACAGGTCAGACGTGCCTGAGTCCCATTTTTTCTTTACTCTAAGTAGCTGTTCATCCAGTTGAATTGTGCCACTTAATGGAAAACTTTTCATGGGGGGAACTAAATGTTCTCCCATACCTCAAATACCCAAATACTGTTATGTGCCATTCAAATAGACCTACATTTTGAGACAAAAACTGTAATTTTGTGCTTTTGCAGTGAAGCCTCGAGTGCCATTTCAAGGCTATTTCCATAATGACTAGCTTTCTTAGATTTAGCAATTTTTTTCCTGATAGGAATGTATTTATTTTACTTTCTTAAATGTACATAAATTCTCTTAGCTATTTATGATCTGTTTTCAGAAACAGGCTGTATCACTAGATGTATTTAGCTTAAATCTGGATAAATTTAAGGTAACTACAGCTGTACTGGGAGAGAAAAACTTTTTTTTCACAAAATAGACAGAGGCCAACTGTAACCCTGAAAGTAAATGGATGTTTAGCAATAACTTCAATAGGAGCAGGATTGGCCTTCATGCAGCAGGTGCCTTCTTAGAAACCTGGGCTGTATACACATGTTCAAATGACCTGAGAGAATTCTCCTAGGTTAGTTTTCCTGGTACAAAAAGTTACCCAGGGACACCTACACAGACACTTGAGTGCTGAGTCCTTGAAGAGCAAAGAGCTGGTGGTGCTAACGCTGCACAGCCAGGGGGGCCCTGTGCACACATCTCAGAACACATCTGTGCTTCCTCAGTCTGCCTGGTGACGGATGGCAGCAGTGCACAAGGCAGCTCTGACTGGCTGACTCAGACTGCTCAGTCAGCCTGTGTCTCCCTGCAGCACAATATGGGGTCCCGAAGGGGGCATGTTCTGCTCCCTGCTCAGCTGGAGTAGTAGAGTCCAGCCCATGCAGCACGCTGTCTCCCTGGTAGTAGGGGAAGCAAAGCTCCCTGGGATGCTGAAGGACTGTGCTGCAGCTTGTCTTAGAAGAGAACATACACAAACATTCACTCACCCAGGAGAAGCTCTCCTGGGAGTGATTTCACCCTGGTTGTTCCCGTGTTATTTGTCTCCTGGAGCAGCCATTTTTGCTCTGGGAGAAAAATCCTGAATATCTGTACACTCATGGCTTCTCCTGGGAGAGCAGTGACTCTCCCAGGAGAAACTGGAAGTTTGTATGTGACCTGAAGAACAGCAGCTTCCAGGCAGCAAAATGCTCTTTGAAAGTACCACTCCAATACAAAGCTCCCTAACGGTAGGATAGCCAACCACAGAAGAGTTACTCCACTGGAGAGAGATTTTCAGGTACTATAGAGTTAGCATAGCTCCTACCCTGCCCCCCAGTTCTCACCCCCCCACCAGTATAAGGTGCATTGTCAAAACAGCAGTTGCATGCTAGAGACTTCTCTTTGGCTGCCATCTTAGGAACTGCTGGTAGTTAGCCTACAGGCTGCTCTAGATTGTGCCCAGAAGTTAGGCCACTTGGCTCTGGATCAGGAGGAAGTTTCAAAAGCCACTAAAATGTAGTTCTCCATAGCGAGCAGTAGCAAACCGCAGACACAGTTTGATTTCCCTTCCTTAAAGGCAAATGCAAGGATTAAAAACATGGTGGGATCTGAGTAGAGAATGAAGACGTACAGGGAGATGTGCACCTATATGCAGGTCCATCATGCTCTCTCCTTAAACCGTGCTCCATCCACCAAAGCAGAAGTGAGTTGACAACCAGGCAGTATCACCCCCATTAACTTAAGATCAGGTCCTTCTCCCCAGCCTGCCCTACCTTGTGTTTGCGTGGCCAAAGTCCTGCGTCTCTGATGAGCTAGAAGGAGCCCTTTGCTTAGGCTTGTTGGGAACTGTTCGCTCACTCAACCCTTGGGCAGAGTCCCAGGACAGATTGAGCAAGTTGTTTGTCCACTGCATTCTGCAAACACAACCACAAGATCTGTGCAGGCCGTTTGTGCGCACACACCAACTCATGCTCGCTCTCATGCTTGCTTTATCTCTCATGCACCAGTCAGATAACTGCCAACTCCTGCATGAATGGGAAAATACAGGGTTGCCCTCAAAAATGGGTTTATCCATTTGACAGGACAATTCATGAGACGCGGCGGAAGCTTTGGCTTAGTTTGATACATCGACTCCATCAGCGCTTCTTAAGGAATTGCATCCTTATTGCTTAAGACTTCAATAGGTAGAGCCCCGTACTGAAAAGACGTTTTGCTTTAAAAATAAAAGAAGATAAATGTTTGAGGAGGGTGACTCACACCGCGAGTGACAGGCCTTAATTCACCTTCTGGCTATTAACTTAAAACCTTTCCCTAGTACAGTGTATACTCATGTTTAAATACAGATGATTGATCGCTATAGCAACCCCTTTATCACCCGAAACACATTCTGTCTCGGAGATAAAAAGCACCTTTGAACAGAAATGCACACGCACTCCCGATGTGAGGTAAGGTGAGCCCTGGCGAGGTTTTTTTTATCTTGTTTTATCAAGATAAATGTTTTAAAGAAGCAGGGAAAAAATGGTTGCTTGTGAATTAGTTTGCACCAGTTTCATGGTGCGGCTTCATAAAAACATTGGAGTCCAAAACGAAGATAAGGTAACAGTGCTTTAGTGGGAGATCCACAAAGGAAGAGGAATCCAAATGTGTTTGATCTGACTCTTTTTCTGTATCCTCACTTCTGTTGTTTTTCCTGTGAGCAAAAGGAAGACAAGAAGCATTTGCTCGAGAAGATCAGAAAATGGGATTTCCCTCCCATGAGATATTTCAGGATTTTGCATTTTTTGTTATCTTTGTCATGATCATTTTATTATCATATGCAGTGAGACAGCAAAACAGACGGAAATTTTGAAATTTCCCGCAGAACAAAAATTCCCCAAAATGTTGATTTGTGACGATCGTAATATTTTGATAATGTTACCTTTCAAAATTGTAAAAATGCTTCATTTAGATAAGGTTGGGAAGTAAAAATGAGTTCTTCTGCACTGTAGCCCGGGTGAATCAAAATGATAAAGCTGAAACTTCATTACATTGAAACCAAACACTTAACTGTTCGTTAAATGAAAAAAAGAAGGTAAAAATTATTCCATTTGACATACTTGCTATGTAAAATTTTGGCAAAATCAGCACTCTCCTACTAATCAGAAAACTTTTCTGCTGGAAATGTTGTGAGCAAGTTCTTCTGTTCATGAGACTCTGCAGGAGACGGATCACAAAATCTGATGGTTAGCTAGGACCGGCCTCTCAGGAAACCGCACAATGTTTAGATCCGAGGTTTTTGGAATAATTAGTGCCTCTCCAAAACATAAGTGCAAATGGAGACATTTTATTTGAATTGGGACCTTTAAAATCCAACTCCACTCCTATGCGAATGCATGACCATATAATGTTCCCAAGGTAAGAATTGGATTGGCCTAACGGGTACAGCACGCATGGATTAAGTGATGGCTGCATTCTCATTGCAAATGGGACTATGTGATAGGGGTGTTACTTTATTGTTAGAAAGTCCAACTATTTTTTCAAGGCATTTAGCTGACAACTCTGTGGTTCTGTCATGCTGGTTCTGCTACGCTTGTGAACCTTCACACCTCCACTGATCTGTGGGTGTTGTGGATATCGTAGTAATTGTATAAGAACATACTTTTATGCCTTAATTAATTTATTCTTGATCTGGCAGGAACATGATGGAACACACAATCTTCCAGCTCATCACAGCACCCGTGAGCCCATTTCTAAATGCGGTGACCTAGACATCACCTTTGAGTATAAGGCCTCAAGCCAGAAGTTGGTGGTGACTATCCTAGAGGCAAAGGATATCCCAGACAAGGACCGTAGTGGTGTGAACACGTGGCAAGTTCACACTGTTCTGATGCCCAGCAAGAAACAAAGGGCGAAGACGAGTGTGCAGAGAGGACCCACTCCTGTGTTCAAGGAGAAGATGACCTTCAGCAAGGTGGAGCCAGAAGAGCTGAGTAACTACGCGCTCCGGTTCCGTCTCTACGCTGTGCACAAAATGATCAGGGAGAAGATGATGGGGGAGCAGTTGTTTTACTTGAGCAACCTCAACCAGGAGGGGGAAATGAAGGTGACGCTGGTGCTTGAGCCCCGGAGCAACCTGAGTGTAAGTCTGTTTGAAAGGAGAAGAGCTTCTCAACACAGTGTCACTGGATCAGGGAGGGGGTGCAGTAGGCTTGACTAATGCTTTGAGCTGGGGAATGGCAGCCTATGGCCCGCATGCTGGATCCAGCCCACCGAGCAATATCATCGGTCTCATGAAGCTGGGATGATGACAGCAGTGTGGCAGCAAAAGAAACAGCTGCCGGGTCAGGACTGCAGAGCTGGACAGGAGTGGCTGCTGGGTCAGGAGCCAGCAAGGAGAGGGGCACCCACATTCAGAGCAAACTGCGCTGCTTTGGGTAGCCTCTCTTTAAATGTTGCCAGCCCCTGCTTTAAGCCAAGGGCTCCCAACACGCCACTGACTCACCACCCACCACCACTCAGCTCCTGATTGGCATCCTTCTCGCCATCAGTGAGCATCACCCCGAGTCAGTGGAAGCTTTGTGCTCTGCTCCGTGGTATCTGACAGAACCCTGTCATATGTTCAATTGAAACCAGCTCTAGAGTTGTTACCCATTGTCAAGCACTAACTGTGTAGGTAGTTGGCTCTTTTTATAGCTGGATGGACATTTTTATGGTGTGATCATTACTTTGCACGTGTGGCCGGTCTAAATTTATTGCACAATTAACCAGTGAATGGCATAATATATGTAACATGTGGCACGAGCCACACATTAGCTCACCTTCTCTGTCATAATTTCCAGCAGGGGGGCACATTTTTTAAGTATCGTTTCTTTCTTTTCTTTTTTTTTTTTACCTAAAACATTATTCTCCTTTGTGGGTATTTGGGACTGGCTCTTTCTGCATAACTCTTCAGCCTGAAGAAGAGAAGGCTGAGAGGGGACTTAGTAGCAGCTTACCGCTACATCAGGGGAGTACATCAAGGGCTCAGTGAACAATCGCCTACCCTGGTAATCTTTAAGAGGAGACTGGACAGTCACCTTGCTGAAGTCACCCAACCCCAGGTGTCCTGCCTGGTGCAGGGGGCTGGACCCGATGATCTTCCAAGGTCCCCTTCAGCCTTACAATCTATGAATCTATGAGCCTGTCGAGTGTTGGTTCGAGGTTTCAGAACTCGGTGCCCAGTTGCTACCACAAAACGCAATCACAGCCACAGGCTGGTTAGTGCTCGTGGCAGGTGCTGCAGTACACACAGCCCACATTTCCATGTTTTCAACCCCAAGTACTTCACATCCACGAGTGCATGTGTTCCAACATTTGGATACTTAATTTTCCTAATCTGGCCCTGACCATCTTGGGCAGCCTCTTGTATGGCCAGAGAGCTTCCCAGCTTGCAGAGAGTCCTTTTGTATAGATTGTGAGCATCATCAGAAGAATAACCAAGCCGGGTTTAGAAGAAGCCTAAGGGAATGTGGTGCCTCACTTGTATGGGATGTGGGTGCTTCTCTCCTTTAGACTCCATTGAAAACCACAGCTTCAAATCCCAGATGGTTATCACATATGATAGCATTGTACCAGGATTATTACTGTGTCATCATTGTGCTGCCAGATACCTAAAGCATGGAAAAGGCTGTGAAAACCCGGAGTGCTTTTTTCAAAGTAGAGACACGTGGGAAGAGTGAAGTGTTTCCTATGGGGGGTGAGGGATGTTGTAGCTGTGATAATACCCGAGAGGCAAGGGTTTTTTGGTGGACCAACTGTAGAGTTGCAAGAGAACTACACAGTTGGTCCAATGTATGATATAACCAAAAATATCCGTGCCTCTCGTTTTTACTGCGCTATCAAGTTGTTGTTTTTTTTCTTTTAATGTAGCCAGTCATTTTTTTCTTCTGTGTCCTGAGTGATGATGGCGAAGGAACCATTCTGTTTGCTCCGCAAGCAAAGGGAAAATGAAAAAAAGAAACAGGCCGATTTTTGTGTTACTATTCAGTCCTTTGGTTGTAACAATAATAATAATAACAGATAACCTTTCCCTTGAAGTCGGGTGACTGAAGAAAATCACTTTGACCCCAGAATACAGTTTCTGCATGGGGTGCTATTCTGGAATATTTAATACGTTATTCCACTGTAGCTATGTATGTCAGCCAGTTTCCTGGTACAGACAAGTCCTAAGTTTTTTCACCCTATAAAGGAAACTCCTTATGAGATTAGGCACATAAAATGAATAGTAAATCATCTCCTGGGTTGAAGGAGAAGGGAACATGATGCCAACAAGGAAGAAAGCAAGAATATATACAGAAATTGTCAAAAAAGAAAAGATTGTGCGAGACACATTCCATCAGAAAGCAATTTTCAGGGAGATTTACTCTCCAGTTGATGCACTAGAAGGTATGCTTATCTCAAAAGCTTTGATTTACGCTAGTAATAATACATTAGGCAGGGCTCCTGGTCCTTAGAGAGAGGGTGTTGAAGGATATATTTCTGCAAAATACTGCTGTGATTTGGTCTTCTGCCCCATTGTTTTCGTGCAGATGATTCCTGGTCCTAGGTACCTCTTAAGAGGGGATCTACAAGGTGTAAATTCAAGGGGGAGAGGTGTGAAGCATTCCAGTGACATTCTTTGGTCTTCTTTCTTGCAGAGCGGAGACTCGCAGCTTAGTCTGTCCGCCATCTCCCACAGCGATAGTGCTTCTTCAACACAGTCCCTGTCACACGGAGGGGTGCCAGAGCTGCTGGTGGGGTTGTCATACAATGCCACGACTGGACGGTTGTCAGTAGAGATGATCAAAGGCAGCCATTTCCGAAACCTCGCTGTTAACAGGCCGCCCGGTAAGTGAAGTCCCCTGTCACATCGCCTGCTATTCATCCAGGGGGTTGGCTATTCATACAGGGGGTTGGACTAGATGTGACCTCCTGAGGTCCCTTCCAGCCCTCACTTTCTATGATCTGTGCCATCAAGTCAGAACTTTATTTTCTTGAGGCCAGTTTTCAGCATTTGGATACCAAGTTACAGATTTTGCCAGTTCAGGAGCAAATTAGAATTTTATGTTTGATTGTAATAATTTTTTTTAATCCTAATAGATACGTTGGTGAATTTTCCAGTACAATCTGACTATGAGACCTATGATATAGCCTTCACTGCTGTTACCTGAGTGCCTCAGAGTCTTTCATGCATTTGCCCTCTCAAAGTCCCCCTTGAAGGAGGGAAGTGCTTTTGATGCCATTTTACAGATAAAAGACTGAGCCACAGGGGGGCTAGGTGACTTGTTCAGTCTTCACTCCCAGTCAGTCCCTGGCTTCCTAGCTGAGGCTGCCGGATGGTGTCTGCAGAGGAGGTATTTGTCGTGATGTAGTTACCTGCCTACTGGGAGCTGGCTGAAGCCCCTTTCACCACAGGCACCAAACAGCCCCCTTCTGGCAAACATTTTAGGATGCTCCTGCCTTGCACTAGATCTGAACTAGGGATGTATAGATCAAAACTCTTTGAGGCCTTGATCTTGCAAGGTGTTGCTTTGGCCTTTGTTCAACACAGCACTTAAGCAAATACTGCAATTTACAGCCATGAGCACATCCATTGGAAGACTTCGGTGCCTTGCTGGACCTCAGCCAGAGTGCTCTGCACTTTGCAGAATTAAGCCCCCTCTTCTGTCGCCAGTCCCTCAAGAGCTAAGGGCATGTTTACACGGCCGTCGAAGGAGTGAGTGAAGCTTATGTAGATGTTAACTGAGCCAGCTTTTAACTAGCTTATTACTGCTAGCAATAAAGCTATGGTAGCTCAGTGTTGGCTGGCTCCCAATATCTATTCTGCACCTTGGCCATGTTTTGCAGTGCATACTGAGCTCTGTTTTGCCAGTTATGCTGATATCAGGACCTGAAAGCTGGCTCGCTTGCTCCTTTGACTGCAGCCTACATGTACCCATGTCCTATCTGTCACAAATTCAGGGTTCACTGCAGCTTTTCTGCTCTTCCCGAGTGCACCTGTCACAGGTCTTGATCGAGCCCCTTGCTCTTTCCTGCCTCAGGACAGAATTCCTCTTCACTCAGCCCTGGTCTACAATGCCCTGTATGTCAGCTGCACATCTGATTTGGCTCAAGCACTTGCAGTTCTTTCCTTTAGGAGCCAGGGACCAAACAGACTCCGTAAAGCCAAAGTATTGCTGATTTCTCAGTAGGAAAATAAGCACTGGAAAAAAAACAAAACAGTGTAGACAGGCTATGTGCATGTCTGTCTTCCTTCCATCCTCTGATAGGCACACAACTTTTCCAGACATCCCGAGTAGGCTTCTGTTTCCAAGTCTGGTTCCCTACTTTGCTGCCCTTCCCCAGCAATGTGTCATTACTGAAGAGTTAGCTCTGGCGATCAATACTTACTTAACCTACACTTAGGTGTGAGTGGCCACACTACAATGTTCAACTTGGGTAATCAATGGTGCTGCATCCAGAGATGTCACTAGGACTTTTGGAGACAGTACCCATGCCTCGTTGGGTTGCAGTATACTGACCCAGGCTGATTCTTTCCCAGTGAGCTGTGGGAGGTCGTGTCTGTACTGGACAAGGAATGGGGAGCTGGAAGATTTTCAGTACACAAGTGATTTAGCCTTTATTGCCATAGCAAAGTAGACGTAGCCTACCAACCTAAGTGAATGTTTCATTCAGGTTTAGCCAATAATCCCAGATGAGACCTCTAGCCTGGATCAAACGCATGATTCTACCTCAGTGTGGGGTTGATGTGCAAGGATGGGAGCAGGTTAAGGGGAAAATCTCAGTAAGAACCCAGTAGCAACATCCTGAGCTCTTGGTTCTTCTCTGTGTACAGGGCCTTGGTGCTTCCTGGTTTAACCAGCTGTGCAGGCTGGTCAGAGTTTGCAAAATTGTCTGACATTGTCCGTTAACATCTGGTAAGCGCTGGCTGCTAGATGACTACCTTGACTCATTCTTCCCCTTCCTGCTCATACCAAACAGACTCCTATTGAGTTAAACCCATATATATATTCATGTAGTAAACAGGATACCAATAATCAGGCAATGTACAGGAATTCATAAGTTATTCCAGGGCAGCTTCATATCCATCACAACCTGCTTCTTGCCTCCGAAGTCGCATTGTACGATTATTTTCCATTGTCTACTGAATTTACAGTCCTGTAAAGTTTCCGGTAACATGATGGGAGGGAAAAGTCTATTCAGATGGAGACACTCCAAACTCAAACTGGCTCTCATAGCCATTGCTGATGTTACAGTGGAGCACTGTGGGATGCAGGCTGCTGCTCTCTGGATGAGAGCTTAAAGCAAGGGTTGTGAAGGAGGGAGTAACTAAAAATCCCAGCTTGCTTGCTGTTGAAATGTGAGGTAGCCTTGGTTTCCTGGTTGGTATTTCTCTCCCATTCGGTTGTTCCAGGTGGGGGGAATGAGCTATTTTTGACAGCGCAGTGGGAACTTCAAGCATTACCGTGCTTGTAAAGTGTTGTGGAACACCTGAAGCATGTAAAAGGCTGGAAACCCAACCTGCTACTCAGAGACACTCCTGCAGGACGGGAGCGAGCGGCATACTGCATGTAAACTCCCATGCCCTAGCCCTGCTGGCTCAGGAGACGGGAGAGAGGAGTGTAATGTTTACTCGCCATATGGCACTTGGCAGATGCTCCGGGGAGGCGACACGAGGGATGAGATCTTCCCGCACACACAGATTGCACAGTAGCTGCAGAGCGACTCAGTGGAGACTGCTGCAGCCCAACGAACAGCGTAGCCTCTGCCGCCTCTTTGACACGTGCACACATGCACACCTGTTGTCCCCACCCCAGTGTGGGAGGCAACAATGGGGAGCTCCGCACAGCCATGAATCCTCTACTCCATGCTCCATCCCTGCCTTGGCCCTGCTCTTGGCCCCATGCACAAGGGAGCTCCCTGCCTTGGGTCCAACAAGCAGGCCTGTACGCGAGCCCTGCCTCATGCACGGGGGGACTGCTGCCTCGGGGGGCTCCCAGCGGGTAGAGGGGACTGGAGTTACAGTGATTTGGAATAGCAATATCCTAGGTTTAAAGCAGAAGTCAGATTTCTCTGGGGACAGAGGCTTTTACCCTGGGATCCTGTAGACATTGTCCCACTTATGTACACGTGAAGTACCTAGGAAGTACTAGGATATTTTTTCGGGGGGGGGTGGAGAAATCCAGACTAATTTAAGATAATTGCCATCCAAGCTGCCTCAATGACTGTTCTCTGCACCTGTTTTGATGAGAGTCTGGGGCAATCAGACGTGGGATAAACCGGTCTGTTTTCAGCTGTGCACTCTGCAAGGGCTCAAAGGGACATGGGTTTGAGTGAGGAAAAGGGCTTTTTTTTTTTTCTGGATTTACCTTGCACATTATCAGAGGTTTAAAACAATGTTATCGACAGCGGAGTCAGTTAAATTTGGAAACCGTCATTGTTTATCCAGCAAAAATGGAGGGATCCAGCAGCATACCGATGGGTACATTGTGGTGAGCGTGTACAATGCTGAGGTTAACTATAGGTGCATGTGAGAAGCTCTAAGAGGCTTGAATCTCTGAGGGTTGAGAGTAGTTTGGGTCAGGAGTGAGTGCAAAGAGGGGCCCAACTCTGCACTCCTAATTCACACGAGTCACTCAGCTGCCTCCACAGGGCGCGTGGAACAGGTCCTGAAGGCAAGGCCACAATAGCAGGCCCCTGACAATGAGTGTGTGTGTGTGTGTGTGTGTGTGCGCGCGCGAGCGAGCGAGCGAGAGAACCTCCGCGCATTATTTTGTTGTGCTTTTCTTGCAATGCATCTCTTTAAGTGCTGACATCTTCGGGTACAGGCAGATGTAACGATTGTCTTGCTATCAGAGGAAACGGATGCAAGCTGTTCTGATACAGCTGGTGTCTGCACGGTTCTGTAATGATACCAGCAGAGCAAAACTGCACCAGCTTTATTAAAACTGCTTCACTTAGAGTCGGGGCAGCTTAGCTCACTTATATCCCTACAGGCTCAGGCACATGTAACGGTTAGGTCAGGGTATCAAGCTCACCCTGACTTCTAGATCAGGTCTGGACCCAGCAGTGGTGGGAGGGGTGGCACTGGGTTGGCACAGCTATCACTTGCTCTCTCTTGCCTCCAAAGGTCCCATAGCCCTGAACTCTGTAGCAGGCTCCCCCCGAATTCCTGGGCCCGTGAGAAGCCCCACAGGCCAAAGGAAATGACTCTGGGGGCCAGATATGGCCCACGAGCTGTATATGTGACACCCCTGAGTTAGGTCACATCAGGTACTGAACATTTCCAAGCATCAAATCCCTCCCCACTTTTTAAAGCAGCTGAAACATATGTTTGTCTGTCCTTTCAGTATCTTATATATGATCTATAGCACATACTTCACCTTATTTAGTCCTACAAATCATCGTCTTGTGCTAATGTTTTGCACCGTTGTATAAAGGGAAAACTCTTCTTTCCTTCCTCCACGTTTTCCTAATTTTGTTGGGGACGGAGGATGGCTCTGGGGTTTATATTTTTGTCCCTTGCCTTTCATGAAGTACTCACAAAACAGGCATCCTTTGGAAGTGAATAATGGCTGTGACCTGCAACCTTGATACATGCTCTTGCTATTATGTAATATTATTAATTGTGGTAGCACCTGGGACCCAAGAAGAAAGCCAAAAAGATCCATTATCCCCAGCAGCACATAGACACAATATAGATAGTCCCTGCTCCGCTGCTAGACATTTGCCGGTGCCCTGTTTGATGTCACTGTTTCTTTGCAGTCTTCATTCCTTCCCCTTTGCCATTTCTTTGGGGGATTTACGTTAGTGTAAAAGGCAGCTTGACAAAGACTATTGTGAAGACG